CACTTTATCTCCCCTCTGGTTTGGCTGTGTTATTACCTTGACGTTCAGGAGCCTGTCGGGAGTGTGTGTGAGATTGACTGACAGACTGAGTTTGCCCTTGGTCGAATTTGTGAACTTTGACTTTGGCAACAGATATCAAAACGGGGGTGGAGGAGAGAGAGAGGGGAGGGGTGTGGATTGCAATGAGCCCATAGCTCGTTGTGGAGTCCTGTAGCTCAGTGGTTAGAGCACTCGCTTTGCAAGTGAGAGACCTGAGTTCAATTCCAGGCAGAGGGCGAAACCTTGGGCAAGTTTCCTTACTCCACACAGAGCCTAATAATAATAATAATGCCTCCAAAAATCAAAAAACAATAATTAAATTGGTCATTTTCAATCTACGACTGTTTGTGGGACATTGCTGTGCGCAATTGGCTGCCGCGTTCGCCCACAAATATACAGTCAATTCACTTTACAGTGTGTTCTGTGAAGCGCTTTGGGTCGTCCTCCCGACGTGAAAAGCGCTATATCAAATGCAAGGATTATTATTATTATTATTATTATTATTATTATAGCTGGTAGCTGAAACTTTCAGGTGAATGTGATGTTCTGGGATCTGCTGCAACCTTATGCTCTGAGCACCTCATTCACTGGAGGTTTATCTTTACTTTAACTTGCAGTCAACCCAGCTCAGTTGATAGCGCTCTTGCCTCCGAGTCAGGAGGTTGGGTTCAAGCTCCAAGTTGGTACTTTGAGCTCACAGTCTAGGCTGACCCTCCAGTGCGATACTGGGGCCGGGGGTGCTGCATTGTTGGAGGTGCCATCCTTTAAATGAGATGTTGAGCTGGGGTCCCGTCTGCCTATTCAGGGGTTATTAAAGATCGTGTTGAAGGGAGTTTCTCTTTCCTGGTGTCCTGGCCAACCATTCCCAAAATAAGAATGATCACTCATTCTATAGCTGTTTGTGGGACATTGCTGTGTGCTATTGTGCTGCTGCGTTCATCCACAAAATACACAACCCTGCACTTTACAGTTAATCCTGTGAAGCCCTTTGATACATTTCGACATGATAAGGGGGGGTAACAAATGCAAAGTTTAAAGATGACGCATCTCTGATAATGCAGCGCTCCCCCAGCACGACATTGGGGCGTCACCTAGAGCGTGAGCTGAGAGCCCTGACTATGCTGTGTGAGAGGAGCGCATGAGGGGCTCTACGAAGCATCACTAACATGGTTACAGCTTTAACCTTACCTCAGTGTGCGATTGCTAAACTGTGTTAAACAGCAAACCCTCCATTATTCCGACCTCTCTCTCTCTGCAACTCCCCAGGTTATAGACCTTCCTGCTGTCATAGTAATTCTAATCAAACCTACCTCGCTCGTTGCTCAGTGTTTTGAGCATGTTCCTATCACTGATGAGATAACCCCCCTCCACCCTCAACTATGCTACCCTCCTTCCAACCCGCCCCACCCCCACCACACACTCTGAAACAGCCCCATTCTGAAACAAACAGCCCTACTATGGATGTCCAGGCCATAGCTCCAAGGCCGCAGTGAGCTTTGCACACAAGGAGACTGGCTGCTGCCACCTGATATTCTCTGGTTAAACATGTTAGGATTTCCACACAGCATTGCAACAACAACAACAACAATAATAATAATCCTTGGATTTGATATAGCTCTTATATTGTTTGAGACATCTCAAAGATATACTGTAAAGTGGATTGGCTGTGTATTTTGTGGGCGAAATGTGGCTGCCAATTGTGTACAGTTAGGGATTCAGTGACCAAAATTGTTTTTTGAAGAGATTATTACCCCCAGAAAGCAATCAGCCAATCAACTAACAACCGGGTTCGTGAGGCAAGTGCACTAACCACTACACCACAGGACTCCACCAGGGGGAAGTCTAGACTCATGACTGGACCTGTTGCTGAGATGAGCATGATGAGCACTGTGAGGGCAGGAAGAGAGACTCCTCTCTCATCGCCCTCGCCTCCTTCTTGGCCAAGCTCTCACCTCCCCATGTTTTCACATTTAGAGACCCCCCTTTCACCAACACAACAACACCTTGTGTTTATACGGCCTTCAAGCAGGATAGTGTCTCATAGCGCTTTACAGTGGTGGAGCCTGACATCACTATTCGAATAGAGAATGGGGAAAGATCCCTAAATAAATTTGGTCACACACTCCGTGGCTGCTATGTGCAAATTGGCTCTTGTGCTCTTGAATATAGTGACGATACTTTAAAATAATAGTAATAAATAATCTCTGATTTCATATAGTGCCTTATCAGGTCATTGAGATGTCTCAAAGCACTGCATTTTGTGGGCGAACTCAGAAGCCTGTTTGCGCACAACAGCCATGGAGTGAGTGACCGATTTTATTTGGGAGATTGTTGGCCAGGACATCGGCAGAGAGAAACTCCCTTCTCTTTTCGAACAGCACCAAAGGTTCTTTTAACATCCAATCGAACAGATAATTTGCATTTGATAGTACGCATGAGGAAGTCTCAAAACGCCGCGCAGTATAGGGAGGTCCATTTTGTGGGGAATATTGGCACAGCCTCACATCAACAACAGCTTGTGTTTATATAATAATAATTATAATCCTTTACCTAGTGACCGGGGTTAACCAGCATCCAGCTAAAGTAGATTCCATTATTATAATAATACTTACATTTGAAATAGTGCCTAATCACGTCATTGAGACGTCTCAAAGTGCTTCACAGGATATCCTGTAAAGTGAAGTGACTATTTTGTGGGCGAAACACGGCAGCCAGTTACACACAACAATGTTCCACAAACAATCAAGGAATGAGTGACCAATTTTATCTGAGGGATTGTTGACCAGAACCCCGGGAAAGAGAAATTCCCTTCTATTTTCAAATAGTGCCATGGGCTATTTAACATCCACCTGAACTGAAGGACGGCACCTCCGACAATTCAGCGCTCCCCCAGCATTGCATCGGGAATTGGAATCACATAGTCAGTTTAGACTATGTGATTCCAATTCCCGACATGGGGCTCGAACCCACAACCTTCTGACTCAGAGGCATAAGTGCTACCATTGCACGAGGCTTCACGTGGGGTAGAGACTCAGAGCTAGGGGAAGGGAGGTGACCGTAGGCACATCACTGGGTAGAGCTCCCCACCCCTCACTGTGTCTGGTTTGTGTGCAGGGGTGCTGCTGTCAGACCTCAGCAGCGTCATTGTGTGAAGATAAAAGCTCTTCATTTATAGCTGTGGTGTGTTTGATCTTGCCTCGAACCCCCCCCATTCCTACACACAGACTGATCTCCATTGTCAGGATCTGCCTCACGGTCACACCTGTTCTGCCTCAGGGCCGCTGCATCCACTGATTCAAAGCGGATGTTAATTTTGAGTGGAATACTCCATTGATCAGGGCTGGAGGTGGTTGGCGAGGGGGTGGAGAGAGGTTTGTCTCACTTCCTACATTCGTACACCGCCCATCCCCTCCCCCCACCGGTGCTCCATTCTCTTGCCCAATTTTAACCCCTTCCCTGACATTGAGTGACGATTTGCTGAGTGTGTGTGAGGTCGAGTCACTCAGGCCAGGGAGGGAGGGCCTTAGTCTCAATCCACAATCGGACTCTTTTCTTCACCTCAACCATTGTGGAGTCCTGTAGCTCAGTGGTTAGAGCACTCGCTTTGCAAGTGAGAGACCTGAGTTCAATTCCCGCAGAGGGCGAAACCTTGGGCAAGTTTCCTTACTCCACACAGAGCCTAATAATAATCCCTCCAAAACAAAAAACAATAATAAATTGGTCATTTTCAATCTACGACTCTTTGTGGGACATTGTTGTGCGCAATTGGCTACCGCGTTCGCCCACAAATATACAGTCAATTCACTTTACAGTGTGTTCTGTGAAGCGCTTTGGGTCGTCCTCCCGATGTGAAAAGCGCTATATCAAATGCAAGGATTATTATTATTATTATTATTATAGCTGGTAGCTGAAACTTTCAGGTGAATGTGATGTTCCGGGATCTGCTGCAACCTTATGCTCTGAGCACCTCATTCACTGGAGGTATATCTTTACTTTAACTTGCAGTCAACCCAGCTCAGTTGATAGCGCTCTTGCCTCCGAGTCAGGAGGTTGGGTTCAAGCTCCAAGTTGGTACTTTGGTACTACAGTCTAGGCTGACCCTCCAGTGCGATACTGGGGCCGGGGGTGCTGCATTGTTGGAGGTGCCATCCTTTAAATGAGATGTTGAGCTGGGGTCCCGTCTGCCTATTCACAACTTCCGCCCCAACCAGGCCCCCCTGCTCAGCCACCCCCGCCCCACCCACAGATACAGGCCCCCCGCTCAGCCTCCCTCACCGCCAAAGGCCCTCCTGCTCAACCTACCACCCATCCCAGACACAGGCCCCTCTGCTCAGCCTCCCCCACCCTGACACAGGTCCCTACCGCTCAGCCTCCCCCGCCCCCCTTGACAAAGGCTCCCCCCTGCTCAGCTCCCCCTGCTCCCCCCGACACAGGGAGAAAGAGTTCAGAAATAAAAATTCCCGTTTCATCCAAAGCAACATCTCAAAGGCGCACTTGGGGAGGGGCACAGGGGAAGGCAGAGTACTACTGGGTGGAGCAGTACGAGGCAGGAGTTGTGTACTGCAGAATATTGTAAACTAATCACTGGGGACAGGGACTCTTCCCATTCAGTTCCTGTTAACCCTGCAAGCTTGCCATTGTGACTACTGCTGGCAAGCTTTCCTGCTCCTTGTCCAGCGAGGACCACTCTACCCGTTAGGCTACGTGGTTTTATCTGGTTAGACTCCCAGCAGTTACCCCAAGGTACACACTGGGGTCTCCAAGCCTTGGATCTTGCCAAGATGTGCCTAATACTTTCTGCAATTGGGTAAGGATGATGTGTCCCTCTAGAGAGAGAGCGAGAAGTGTATTCCTGTGTGTAGGTGATGAACATAGTTTGGTTTGGACAGTTTGAGCACGGTGGTAGGTTCCTGTGTGCTGGATGCCCTGTGACCTTTTTCCTTTGCTCCTTTCTCTCACAGCGACCATGAAGAAGAAGCGCTCTTCCTGGTTGGCGGAGAAAGCGGAGGGTTTCCGCAGTAACGGGATCTGCAACCCAACCACGTTTCCTGAGGGGGACTTACTGCTGCAGGTCAGGAGGGGGCGAAAGAGAGCTATGAGGGCAGCATTGCAGAGCTTTGTAGAGAGCAGCGGGACTCCAAAAAGGCGGGGGCCTGAGAATGGGGGAGGCCGAGTGAACAAGACTGGAGAGCCCCCCGAAAGAGGGGAGATAGAGCACCCTGGGAGGAGAGGGGGGAAGAGAGTACAACGGGGGGGAACCTCTTGTGGCAGACCTGAGTCATCGAGGAAGAGTGGATGGGTGGGGGAAGCAGGAGCCTGAGGTCAGTGTTGGAGTCCATTGCTGAGCTGAGAGCAGCCTGTAATGTAATGTAATCCAAATCGGGCTCCAGAGAGGCTAGGGATCTTGGCATGAGTCAGGTTTGTGTGGGTGGGGCCTCACACAGAGCTTGGAACCTATTATTTACAGGCAATACTGGCCTCAGTATTTAAATCCTCGCCTCTCTCCTCCAACACGCCCTCCACAACCCCCACCCCCCCCCTCCACATTACCCTAAAAGTATTCAGCTTTTAGAGAAATCCTGAAGCTGAAACCTTAGGCAAGTTTCCTTACTCCACGTACCTTTGTTTACCCAGCAGTACTTATGAACCTAGTTGTCAGTCAATTGGCAGATCACAATCCCTTCAAAAATAATAATAATTTGGTCACTCAACCCATAGCTGATTTTGGGTATTGCTGTGAGCAATTGCCTGTCATATTTCGCCAGAACAAAATACAGTCATTTATTATTCTGTGAAACGCTTTGAGATGTCTCAACAACGTGATAAGGTGCTATTACAAATGTAAGGATCATTATCATTATTTTTAATCCTTAATATGAGAGAACGAGAGACTGCAGGGGTGGTTGTAGGTCCAAAAAGATAAGATGTGAAAGGAATGTTCTTTATTATGAATAATAATTACAATAATTGTCCTTGTATTAGATGCAGTGGTGTGTCTCATTCCACGGCTGTTTATGGGACACTACTGTGTGCAATTGGCTGTCGCACTTTGCCCCAAAAATATATAGTCAATCCTCTTTACAGTATATTCTGTGAAGTGTTTTGAGACGCTTAACGACTAAATAAGGTGCAATATCAAATGCAAGAATTATTATCATTAATAATCTGTGAGCTCAAAGTCCCTGCTGTGCCCTGACTGTAACCTGGGCTGGTAGTTTATGTATCCCAAACAGCCTGTTATAACACGTGTCAGCATCAGTGAGGTGGTGCCAGATTAACAACAAAAACAACTTGCACTTATATAGCGCCCTCCACACGGTAGCGTCTCAGAGCTCTTAACACTAAATTAAAAGACAGTGTTTGGAGAATCTACCAGCATAAGGCAAAGATAGACACCATAGGAGATGGTTGGAGGGGGAGAGACGGTGACTGATAGAGCTCGGTGGGGGGTGGGATCTAATTCTGATGTTTTCTGTGTTTGTGGGTTGTTGCTGGAGTGTGGTTGGTGTGTTGTAGTTGTATAGGTGACGTGTGGCTGGTGTGTGGGTGGCATGTTGCTGGTGTGTGGTTAGTGTGTTGCTAGTGTGTGTGGGGGGGGGGCATGCTGCTATCGTATGGATGGCATGCTGCTAGCGCGTGTTGCTGGTATGTTGGTGGCATGTGGGTAGCCTGTGGGTAGTGTGTTGCTGACGTGTGGGTGGTGTGTTTCGGAGCTGGGGTTACAGGAGGCCTCTCGTGTGTTTCAGGCTCTGAACGGATTTATCCTGGTGGTGACGGCTGAGGGATTTGTCTTCTATGCCTCCCCAACCATCCTGGACTACCTTGGCTTTCAGCAGGTCAGTGTCAGTGCACCCAAGGTATGGTGGCAATCAATGACTCCCACTCCCCGCGGCCCTAACCTGTGGAGGGGGTGAGACAGAGGGACTCAGAGGAGGGGTGGGGGTGTGGAGGGCCTCATGGACAGAGTTCGAGCAAGTGGAGGTAGAATGGCTGAACAACAGGCCAGTGAAACAGGCTGGCTCGGCTGGGAGGAGCCATATTGACACTAATACATAGTGTTTGTTACACAAATCTTTGGAGGAAACCTCCAAAGACCACAAACTGTGGTGATCCGATGCAGGTAGGGAGTTAATGATTTTGAACAAGCTAGGATTGCCAAGCAAGAAGAGAAACGGAGATAGAGGAAGGAGCATTAGTCTGCTGTGTCCAGAGCATCAACTGGATCTCACTTCTATCTTATTTGTGGTGAAAACTATCACTAGGATTGGTCTACTGCCAACTTAATGCCACCAAAGGCCAGGCCAATCTTAAAACTCAAATTCCATCCCATTTTTTAAAAAAACTGAGGAACAATCTTACTGGATTATGGGGGGATTGCCTATTAGGGAGGAAGGACATTGCAGAGGTGGTGAAATCAAACACTGAGCGAGCGTTGGCTGAAAGCTGTGTCTAGCGTGTGCCGTGATCAGACTGCCCAGCTACCTGCTGTTGCCACATGCTCTTCTCCACAACACCTTCAAAACTGTGACCAAAACAGGAAATGAGGTCTGCTCGCTGTTGGGTCAACCATCAGTGAATCCATTGTTAATGGAGAAACGGGTGCTTAGCATTCTGTGTGACAGGTCAGCAGCCATGTAGATTGAGGGCGGGGGAATTCATAGGGTCACAAGAACTTGGTTGGGAATTTGTGCTCTCTGTGGGAGATGTTCCCTCAGTGCCAGGTCTGTTCCACACTCTGGCAAGTCTGTTGTTTTCAGACTGCTTAACATTCCAGATTTTGGGAAGACTGAAGCAGTCTGATCTCAGCAACCCGTGGAAATTGTGTCAGCCTGGCCACTCTCTCCTCAGAGTCAGAAGATTGTAGGTTCGAGCCCCATATCGGGACTTGGAATCACAGTCTGTTAGCAGTGGTTCTCAAATAAAAACATTTCAATATATTATTATAACAATTACTGGTGGCTGCTGTGCTAGCTTTTCGTAAAAAAATACTTAGTTACAAAAAATAAATGCACATCTGAAATGGTTTTAATTTATTTCTGTACAGTTGACAAACCACATTTGAGAAAACACATTTTTTGCACAAAACCTTGCACAATAACAAGATTCAAAAGGCACAGTAAATGAAAAGCATTTGAGATGTGCATAAAATTATTGTTAATAGGGACGGAATTGGCAGTACAGTTGTGATTGAGGATTGACAATATCATAGAATTATATAGCACAGAAGGAGGCCATTCAGCCCATCATGTCTGTGCTGGATCTTTGAAAAGAGCTATTCAGATGGAATAACTTTGTTATGGAATTGGCTTCCACCACCTTTTCAGGCAACGCATTCCAGATCCGAACAACTCGCTGTGTGAAAACATTTCTTCTCACCTTCCCTCTGTTTCTTTTAACAACTATTTTAAATCGGTGTCCTCAGGTTACTGACCCACCCGCCAGATATAGTAGAACACTGTAGCTTGTATCCTCCTGCATTAAACTCCGTGAGCTGATCACCCCCAACCCTCATCTAGCACACAGGCTGTACAGTTTATAGCAGTCAAATAGTATATGGATAAGCAATTTTTTTTGGTGAGTTGCCATCAGCACTTACAGGTGGCTGCCGTGCTGTTTTTTCCTAAAACATATTTAGTTAGTCATACACTTCATTGGCTCTCTGTCGCACAAAGGATCAAGTTCAAGATCTTTGTCCTCGCCTTTAAAGTCTTTCATGCTATTGCTCCTCCCTACCGCTGCGACCTACAAAACTCTTACCAACATGTCTGTTCCTTTTGCTCTGCAGGCACTGACTGGCCTGCTCCAAATCCCACGCCATGTCTGCTCTGCCATTGGTGGTTGGGCCTTCAGTCTTCATTCTAGAAACATAGGAACATAGGAACAGGAGTAGGCCATTCAGCCCCTCGAGCCTGCCCCTCCATTCAATAAGATCATGGCTGATCTTCTAACCTAACTCCATCTGCCCGCCATATCCCCATATCCCTTAATCCCTCTATTTTTTAGAAGTCTATCAATCTCAGTCTTGAATATGTTCAAGGACTGAGCATCTACAGCCTTCTGGGGTAGAGAATTCCATAAATTCACTACCCTCTGAGTGACCTCAACTCTGTTCAAAAAGGCTGACCCTTAATCTTAAGACTGTGACCCCTAGTTATAGATTCTCCTACCAGGAAAAACAGTCTCCCACTGTCTACCCTGTCAAGCCACATAACAATCTTATATATTTCTATAAGATCACCCCTAATTCTTCTATGTTCTAGAGAATATAGGTCTAGTCTACTCAACCTCGTCTCGTAGGTCAACCCCACTCATCCCAGGAACCAACTTATCTATGTTGCACCCCCTCTAGGGCGCGTATGTCCTTTCTTAAATAAGGAGACCAAAACTGCATACAATATTCTAGGTGCCGTCTCACCAAGGCCCTATACAATTGCAGCAAGACTTCCCTACTCTTGTATTCTGACCCTTTTGCAATAAATGCCAACATGCCATTAGCCTTCCGAGTTGCTTGCTGTACCTGCATATTAACTTTTTGTGACTGGTGTACCTCAGAGGTTACTCTCACACCTAGCATAGTATCATCAGTGAATTTAGATATTTTAAGTTCTAGGTCCTCATCTAGATCATTGATATAGATTGTAAATAGTTGAGGCACAAGCACTGATCCTTGTGGTACTTCACTAGTCACATCTTGCCAATCTGAGAAGGACCCGTTTATTCCTACTCTCTTATTTTCTTCCCGTTAGCCACTCTTCGATCCATGCTAATATATTGCCTTTAATTCCATGGGCTCTAATCTTGTGTAAAAGCCTTTTATGTGGCACCTTGTCAAATGCCTTCTGAAAATCTAAATACACTACATCTATTTGTTTCCCGCAGTCTAACCTGTTAGTTACATCCTCAAAGAACTCCAGCACCTTGAGATGTCTTCCTGACATGAAAGGCACTGCATAAATGCAATTGTTGTTGTCAATTCTCCATTCCAAAGGCCTATGTGTTTCAGTAATATTTTTTATTCTCAACTTGGTACACTCCAAACCATAACCACACCATTTGGCCCGCTTTTGTACTTCCAGTCTTCATCTCATTGGCTCTTTCTTAATTGCCTTTACTTCATAAAGGGATGTCCTGTAGTTGCCGCACTCATTCCCTAGCACTTGGTTCTTTGGTATCTGTTGACTCTTTGCTCAAAACCTTCCTGTCTGCTCCCTCCGCTCAGGGGCCTCCAGCCTGCTTCATGCTCTGCCTGCCCCACCATCGCTGGTCGGGCCTGCCCCCAACTTTTGGAACTCCATCCCACAGTCCCTTTGCCTTGCCCGGTCCCTTGTCTCCTTCAAGGCCCATCTCAAGACCCTTCTCTTTGTCCATGCTTTTGGTCACCCTCCTATCCCTACCCTCTTGATCTCACAGCTTGGGTCCAAATCCTTGACTGTCCAGTGGCTTGGGCTGTCCAAAGGTGCCATACAAATGTAATTTATTGTTGTGTTTGTTTGTAGTCGGATGTGGTGCACCAGAGTGTGTTTCAGTTGATCCACACGGACGACCGTCCAATGTTTCATCAGCAGCTCCACTGGGCCCTCAATCCGCCTGCCTTCCATGAATCCAATCCACTGGGGGATGGTAAGTCAACTGGGCAATTTCACATCAAAACACTGCTCTGCATAGCTCCCCTGGTGGGTGGGATGGGCACTCCACTAAATCCATCTGTCACTGAGTATTTTTATTTTGGTCAGCCAGGTGTCTTGTCAAAGCGAAAACCCATCATCATGCTTAAGAGTATCCAAATCAAATTGAGTCTAATCAGCCAAACCTGCAAAGTTTGCCATTGAGAGCACTGTATGGCAAGCTTTCTCGCTGCTTGTCTGGCTAGGACTTTCCTACGTGTTAGGGCTTTGGCTTGCAGGTTTAATGGGTGCTGAATGGGAAGAGACCCTGCCTTTAGTGACTGGTCTATCCTGCTGATGAGCCAGGCTGTCTGGGCTGACAACAGCAGTGTCCTGGAGTACTGCAGACCCACCTTGCTCAGGAACTGGTTTAGACAGTGACAGATGGTGGAATCGACTCCCATCATTCTATTGCCAGGCACATCACCTTAGAGTAAGTTCAGTTCCAAGGAGACCCTGGGCTCCAAGGCTATCAGAAGTTGTAATGTGGTCAGCAGCCTGAAGGAAGCTAACAGGAAGTGTATGAGAGGTGTCCAGAAAGTGCTATCCCAGTGTCCTTTTATTTATTGTCCCGATGAAGACCACTCCCGTCCTCAGACGAGGCATGGAGACACTTAAGTTGGCTTGAGTGCGTCTGGTTTAAGGGGCCTCCTTTGGCCTCATTGCTTCTCAACATTGCACAGAGCACCTTGCTGGTCAATGTGTGTGGTGTGTGTATGCCACCTGACCACTGCAGAGAATGACATTCTCTAGAGTCAGTGACTGGCCTGCAATACAGGAGGAGATGTCAGGGAAAGGTCACAGTCTTTAGGCATCAAGATTTAGTGTACAGATACCTCAACAGCATTAAAAAGACAATTAGATAAAAGGAGAAAGAGCCTGATCAGAGCAGTGCACACCAGTAGGAAAGTGAGCACCAGCACAGACACAATGGGGATTGGAGGAGAGAGCTCCAGTAGGAAACAAGCACCAGAATAGACAGAATCGGGAGAGAGGAGGGAATGAGATTAGAGAGCTCCAGTAGGGAGCGAGCACAGTCACGATGGGGTGAATGGTTTCCTCCTAAACTGTAAATGTTCTATGATAGCTGACTAATCAAGGGACAATCTATCAATCAACAATGGATCACTGCTCCCTCCTCTCACCCTGCGGCCATATTGTGCCCAGTTCTGGTCTTCACATTATAAAGGATATAGCAACTATGTACGAGGATGATACCACGGCTGATAGGTGCTGCTATCCAGACAGACTGTATAGGTTGCGTCTTTTTTTACTAGAGAAGAGATGTTTAAGTGGGGGACCTATTACAGGTGTTTTAAATTATAAAGAGTTATAATATGATTAACAAAAATAGGCTGTTTCCACTGCTTGGGGAGTCCATAGCCAGGGGGCATAAGATAGTCTGGTTTCTGAGTTTCACAGTCTGTGTAAATTGTTATCTCTGTCCGCCTCTATCTCACCATCTGCCTCACTGTCTCTGGCTCAGGGTCCTCAGACAGCCCCTGTAACATGATCACGTACGATCCCCAACGGCTGCCCCTCGAGAATTCTTCCTTTATGGAACGAAGCTTCATATGCCGCTTTCGGTGCCTGTTGGACAACTCCTCTGGCTTCCTGGTGAGTTCCTCAGCTGGTTGAACTTACAACAGCAACAACGGAGGGGAGGCTCTGGACATCAGCCAGGGAAAGTGGGGGCATGACAAACAACAACAACAAGATAAATGGAATCTTGTTGTTGTTGTTGTTTGTCATGCCCCCACTTTCCCTGACTGATGTCCAGAGCCTCCCTTCCGTTGTTGCTGTTGTAAGTTCAACCAGGTTCCGAAGCTTATGGTGTCTCAAGAGCGCTTCCCAGAGTCGACTGGGAGGCAAGCTGGGAATGGGGGATGTTTCTCTCTGGGAAGGGTCTGAGACATGGACCCGACCTTGGGAGTCCTATAGCATAGTGGTTAGTGCGCTTGCCTCACAAGCAAGAGGACCCAGGTTTGATTCCGGGTGGGGCGCAACCGTAGGCAAGTTTCCTTACTCCATATGCCTCTTGTTTACCTAACAGTAAGTAAGAACTTGGGTGGCAGTCGATTGGCAGATCAATTTCTGGGGTAATAATCCTTCCAAAAAAATATGGTCACTCAATCCACGATGGTTTGTGGGATACTGCTGCGTGCAATTGGCTTCCGTGTTTCGGCCACAAAATACAGTCAATCTGCGTTATAATATATTTTGTGAAGCCCTTTGAAACAGTTTAACGACGTGATAATGCGCTATATCAAATGCAAGGATAATTATTATAACCATTAACAGCAGTGTCACCCACAAAACACATAGTCACTGCACTTTATAGTGTAATGTGTAAGGAGCTTTGAGGTGTGGGTTTTTCATATGTTTATAAGTTGATATTCTCAAATAATTACCGCCATCTCTGTAAGCACCTCACAATGAAAATGAGCGTGTGCGTTCCTGTATGTGAAGAGCATGAGTACACCATAGCGTTGTGTGTACACTCTACACCAGCCTTTGTCAACCTTTGTGGTCGGCCAACAAAATAAACGTTCTTGATTGAATATTTCTTGCTGTACGCCATCAATGCAAATGTTTGAGGAAGCACTCCCTGATGCCCACGCGGGTCACAAGTTGGCCACGATTGCTCACCATTGACTGCCTATGGTCTCTCTGCAGACACTGAGTTCCAGGGGCGTCTGAAGTTCCTGCACGGGCAGAATAAGAAGGCTGATGACGGCAGCGCCATACCACCCCAGCTGGCACTGTTCGCGGTGGCTACACCTCTCCAGCCCCCATCCATCCTGGAGATCCGCACCAAGACCCTCATCTTTCAGACAAAGCACAAGTTGGACTTCACCCCCACGGCCTGTGACAACAAGTATGTACGTCTGTGTGGAGATGTATGTGTGTGCGTGAGTGCAGAGGGGTGTGTGTGTGTGCAAGTGCGCGAGGGGTGTGTGCGCGTGGAGGGGTGTGTACCCGCGTGGAGGGGTGTGTGTGCCGCAGGCGTGTGGAGAGGTTGTATGCGCGTGGAGTGGTGTGTGTGTGCGAGTGCGGAGGGTTGTGTTTGCACGAGGGCTGTCGGTGGGCGCTCGCGCAGAGGGGTGTGGGCGCGCGTGTGTGTGTGCATGTGTGTGTGTGTGGAGGGGTGGGTGTATGTGTGAAGATGGGTGTGCGTGAGGGATGTGTGTGAGGGATGTTTGTGGAGGGGTGTGTGTGGATGTGTGTGTGTGAAGGTGTGTGCGTGGAGGGTTGCTGGGAAACTTAAGAATATCCTATAGCTTGGAATTGTTGGAACTGTCCAGTAACTGGGAATCATCGGGATTTTCCAAAGACTCAGGAATGTAGGGAATTTCCGGTGATTGGGAAATATTGGGATTTTTTAGTGACTGGGTGTGTTCCCTGTTACAGAGGGAAGTTTGTGCTGGGCTACACGGATTCAGAACTGTGTATGCGAGGGTCAGGCTACCAGTTCATCCACGCCGCGGATATGATGAACTGCGCTGACAATCACGTCAGGAGTGAGTAGAACCGAACACTGGGGTAACATCTTCAACAAAGACTGCAGCAGATTAAACTGACATGTTAGCATTTTAATGCTGTGTGCAATTCAGATCCCTTTATGTCACAAAGCCAGTCTTACACTTGATTCGAAACTCTGAGCAGTTAAATAACAGTCATAATAATCCTTACAAGTAATATAGTGTCTTTCATGCTCCAGGTATCTTACACCATGGCAAGGGGTGAAAGGAATGACTCTGGCCCTTTTAGCCAGATATAAATTGGTGACATCTTATAATAATAATCCTCGCTATGGCTTATCACGTCGTTGAAACATTTCAAAGCTCCTTACAGATTATACTGTAAAGTATAGTGACTGTTTTGTGGGTGAAATGCGGCAGACAGTTTGTGCACAACAATGTGCACAACAACAACAAACAGTTATGGAGTGAGTGACCAATTTTATTTGGGGATTGTTGGCCAGGACATCAGGAGAGTGAAACTCTCTTCTCTTTACTAGTGCCATGGGATCTTTAACATCCACCTAAACAGACAGATGGGACCTTGGTTTAATGTCTCATCTGAAGGACAACACCTCCAACAATGCAACACCCCCAGCACTGCACTGGGCTGTCATTTTAGACTATGTGATACCAAGTCCTGACATGAGGCTTGAACCCGCAACCTTCTGACTCAGAGGCAGGAGCTGACACATCTTTGTGTCTTTTTTCTAGGCTGAAAGAGAGAACTGCCCTCCACTCTGCATTTCCCTTTCAATCAGATTGAGAATAAGTGGTGAATGGAGATTGGACATATCCCTGGGTCCTTCTGGTCTCTGGTTTGGCACTCCAAAGTCCACTCTATTATCTTTTGTTAAATTGGTGACATTTAGCAGCCATGCTATCAAGGCTGAGGCTGTTAAGGCTCACTGAGGATCTTCTAAAACAGAAACGTACTATTCTTCAGGCGAGACATTAGCACGAGGTCCCGTCTGCCTGTTTAGGTGGACGTTAAAGGTCGCGTGGCACTTATCGAAAAGAGAAGGAAGTTTCTCTTTCCCGGAGTCCTGGCTATCCAGTTAAAATCGGTCATTCGCTTCATAGCTGTATGTGGGAGGTTATTGTGTGCAAATTGACTGCCACGTTCTACAAAACACACAGTCACTGCATGTTACAATAAATCATGGTAAGATCTTTGAGATGTTGTGACGACGTGATAAGAGGCTATATGAAAGGCAAGGATTAATCATTGATATTTGCCCAAGGGAGACTTCACTGGAATCGTCACGGAACTTTGCCTTGAAAAAGCTCAGAGTGGGTTGGATAGAATCAATGGGTGGGTGGACATGGTCAGTAGAAGCGATGAGCTGGATGGGTTGCCAATGACTCCTTCTCATGTCAGGCTCTTCCGTGCTCAATGGGAACTTGTTTGCTTTCAGTGATTAAGACTGGGGAGACTGGGATGACTGTCTTCAGATTGCTGACCAAGCAGAGTGGCTGGGTCTGGGTCCAGGCTAACGCTCGCTTGGTTTACAAGGGTGGCCAACCTGACTGCATCATTGCCAGGCAAAGAGCCTTAACGTAAGTAAAGCTGCTCATTTACTTACCGTATCTCGTGGGGTCAGCCCAGCGCAGTATGTGTCAGCCCGGCTCGGAGTGGGTCAGCCCGGCTCGGAGTGGGTCAGCCCGGCTCGGAGTGGGTCAGCCCGGCTTGGAGTGGGTCAGCCCAGCTTGGTTGGTAGCACTCTTATTAGTGAGTCATAAGGTTGTGGACTCAAACCAACTTGGGACATGGGACCCATATAATATAAGCTAACTCCAATATTGGACACAGTCCCAATTGGGATGTCGTTGAAGATGCGGTCGTTCGAATGAGACGTTAAACCAAGGTCCCATCTTCTTGTTCAGGTGGACGTTAAAGATCCCAAGGTGAAAGAGAGCATAGTCTCTCCTTGTCCCTGACCAACAATCCTTGATAAAAATATTGGTCAATTGACCAATTGGCTGCTTGTGGGACATTGCTGAGTACAAATTGGCTGCCAAGTTCACCAAAAAAACAGTCACTCCACTTTACTGTATCCCTGTGAAGCGCTTTAAACATTTATGACTTAGGCAAATTTTACTTATTTTACTTACAAATACTTATGAAAATTTTACTGTATGAGCTAGATGTAAACTGTTACATGGAAAAAAACAATTTGGCGTTAAATTAAGGACAACAACAACAACAAGATTCCATTTATTGAGCGCCTTTCACGTCGGGAGGACGTCCCAAGGCGCTGTACAGTTGGGTCAGGACAAGTCACTAAAAGTGGTTTGCACTCACTGAGAGCTGTGTGTCAATGTCCCATTTCATATAGGATTCTAATAGCAGCGATGAAGAAAGCCTTCAGCTCATCTGATTGCACCTTCCTAAATACTCATTCCACTGTCCCAGAACAGCATCAAATGGGTCAGAGGAAGCCATTGCAAAGTCCAGCCTCAAGCACGATGATGGGTTTGCGCATGTGTCAGACACCCGGCTGACTATCCCCCCAAAAATACAGTATTTAGTAGTTTATTTAAACACGTCCAGCATCCTGACCTCAACCAGACTTTGTTTTGTACTGAATATCTCAAATTTAAAATCCTCGTTCTTGCCTATATCCCACATCAGCACTTGAACTTGCATAGTCTAAGCTGGCACTCCAATGCAGCAGTGGGTGGGGTTTTGCATTATCGGAGGTACTATCCTTTGGATGAGATATTAAACCAAGGTCCTGTCCCGTCTGCCTGTTCAGGTGGACAATAAAGATCCCATGGCACTATTTGGAAAAGAGAAGGGAGTTTCTCTCTCCAGTGTCCTGGCCAACAAACCCCCAAATAAAATTGGTCACTCATTGCATGGGTGTTTGTGGGACATTACTATGCACAATTGTGCTGACATGTTTGCCTACAAATACACAGTCACTCCATTTCACAGTAAATCCTGTAAGCACTTTGGAATGTCTTGGTGATGAGATAAGGAGCAATACCAAATGCATGAGTATTACTATTAGAAATCCCTCCAAAGTCTCGCCTCACCTTACCTCTGCGACCTCCTATGACTCTACCGCTATCTCCGATATAAGTACTTATGTCTCTCGTCCCAGTGTCAAAATTGTGTGATTGCTTGTCCGTGGCCACAAAGTGTGCTTTATATGAGCATGTATGAACAACACCCAAGTTAACCAATGGTCTCCCTACCCATCTCTCTCAGGAATGAGGAAGGTGAAGAACATTTGCGGAAGAGAACAATGCAGCTGCCGTTCAACTTTGCCACGGGTGAAGCGGTTCTGTACGAGAATAATTTGTTCACCTCTGGACTTCAGGATCTGTTCCAGGCCAAAGGGAAAGGGGTGAAGATCAAGAACACTTCACTGGAGATAAACGGTGTTGATCCCAATTCGATCCTGGGTGCCATCATTTCTCAGAGTGCGTCTCATATATATGCGTCTCAAGCGGATTCACACTCCAATCCTTCACTCAGTAACACTCTTGAAAATGACATTGAGGTTTTCGGTTTACAGGAAGATTGCTGGCAGTCGGCTAGCAATGGAGTGACTGCACCTAAACAGGAGTCAGACCTGGATCAAGATGATTCGCTGTCGGCTCTAATGGATATTCTATCCCAAAAGAATGATGATGAGAAAGAGCTCTGCAAAACGCTCCAAAAACTGGATGTTGATGTGGAGAACATGGAGTTGGAACAATGGGAAGAGACTTTACTTAAAATGGATATCGGCCCAAACCTCCCAGATGACCTGAACAACATTATCAGCAATGATTTTCTATTGTCCTATGTTGAGGACGTGCTGGCCACAAAGGATGGTCCAAGTGTTGGTACTTTCCAGCAGGGCAGGTTGGATTCTGGAGAAGAAAACTTACCAGAAACTCCCCAGCAGAACTGGTTTGGACATACACAAAATGGGCTGGGATTCAACCGGCAGAAACCAATGAGGCCAAGCTGTCAAAACTCAATAGCACATAGTGCCCAGAACTCAATGATGGGTCAACAGAATGCAATGCTGCTCTGCCATCAAACTTCAATGAAGTCTGGATCCAAAGCCATTATAACCCCTGGTCTCCAATCTCCAATGTCATCCTGTCTCCAGACCCCAGTGACACCTAATCTCCAGACCCCAATGGAATCTGGGCTCCAGAACCCAACAGCATGTAATCTACAGAACTCAATGACATCTGGTCTCTGCCACTCTATGTCATCTTGTCTCCAGAATCCAACTGTGTTTCGAGACCAGAGCAAAGTAATGCCTAGTCTACACACTGTAATGATACTTGGTCCACAGGACTCAATGGTCTTTGCCCCAATGAACTCGATGATGGATGTACAACAGAAGCAAATAGCACTTAGACTCCAGGGCACAACGGAAGCCAGACCACAGAACAGCATGGAAGCTAGGGTTCATAATCCACTTGGCTCTTGGACTGATCCACAAATCCCATTGTCTCACAGCCCGCATAATCCGTTGCATATGTCTCAGAACCGAGCCAGACCTGCTCCACAGACGGAGCAACTCAACACACAGCCAACTCCGTCACAACAAGCACTCAGTGATGATCCGCAGGGACCTTGGCACCTGGGGGAGAAGGGACAGGCGAGGTTGCATTCCGCAGCCGACTTGCAGCCAATGCAGCTTCAGCGCATGCCGACCTGGCAGAACGGGCAGCCCGATCTCACACAGCCTCTCCAAGGCCAAGGGTGCCGGCAGCTTCACATCCCCCAGGCACCGTGCAGGTCGGTCCAGGAACACTTGTCCACTGCCTCTCAGGGCAATGGATCATGCCTGCAGTACAGTTGTAGCATGGCATCTCCGCACAGTGCTGTGGCAGGCCAGCCTCAGGCAGGGCAGTGCCCCTCGGTGAGCAACGGCTTCCAGCTGCCGTCATGCAAGTACGTGAGGGGTGGGTCTCTCCCCAGGAATGGGTTGTCGTTCCCGGACACCAGCCCCATTGCTGCTCTGCCCCGGTGCTCCAAAATGAAACAGTCACCTGATCACAGCCCCCTGAAGGCGTCCTGCTATTTTGAGAAGAACGCCGTCAACCTTTTGTTGCACTCCTCGCCTTTCCCCAACGGTGAGGTCAATGCGCAGCAGCCTTCCTGCCAGTTCAAGACAGGTTTCCCGCCCTTACCTTTCACCGCAGAGTCTGCCTGTGGGAATGCGACCGACCCAGTATCGTGGGATTACAATGGACAGTACAACGAAAGGGTAAGGAGACCACAACCTGTCAGTTATATACAGTAAAACTTGCATTAGTCTTATCTTTATAATTCCTTTCATCGTAGTCACTATTCAGTTTACAATCAAAACCACTTAGCTTTCTTTGCACTAGTCGTATTAGCTCATAATGCTGCTCCCCTACCTTCCATTACTGCTGCACTTACCGGCTGCATTCAATCGCGGGAAACTGTCTTGATCTGTTGACCCATGTGCAGAAGAACTTATTTTCCCGCAAGTCGAAGTGATTCCGTCTGTCGGTAAGTGCGCATTCGACGAAGGGGTCAAAATGCTTTGAATTGCAGGAAATGTAGTCTTGACCCATCACAACATCCGCACTTACTGGCTGCATTAAATTACACATGCACATTGAAGATTATTGATTAAATTGGATTTTATACAACTTCTACAATTTGTCTGCAACTTGGACTTTGCGTAAATCATATTAAATGTTATGGTCCTGACTGATATGCCTTATGTGAGTTTTACTTTAGTAACATAACCAGCTAGGTCAGTAGCACTCTAGCCTCTCAATCAGAGATTGTGGGTTCAAGACCCACGTCTGGACTTTGAGCTCAGCTTAGGGTGAGATTCCAATGGAGTGCTGGGTGGAGTGTTGCATTATCGGGGGTGCCGCTCTTCGGATGAGACGTTAAACCAAGGGACGTCTGCCCGTTCAGTGGATGTTAAAGATCCCACCGCACTGTTTGAAAAAAGAAGGCAGTTTCTCTTTTCCAGTGTCCTGGCCACCAATCCCCAGATAAAATTGGTCGCTCACTCCATGGCTGTTTGTAGGACATTACTTTGACCAAATTCCCTCCCTCCCTCCCTCCCTCCCTCTGCCTCGCCTGGGAATTGACCTTGGGTCCTCTCACTTGCAAGGCAAGTACTCTTACCAATACACTACAAGACACTAAATAAATGGGGAATTGGTCACAATCTACAAATTGATTAACAATGACTGTCACTGAGCGTTACGGTGCTCAAGGACGAAGCCACTCCACTTTGATTTATTTTTGAAGGGATCTACTGTTAGCTGGACAGAGATTCTATTGTCGTCCGCTGGGTGACTGACCCATCACCACATATACCCATCACCATGTTTGAGAATTTGGCACACGCATGCCACTGAAACATGAACATTTCCTATTGGAGTCACATGTGTGGCATGCATCCAGAGAGAGATAAATCCCCAATCAGATTCCCTACTTAAGAAATCTATTAAAAAGTACCTCAAAATCTTACTCTTCTCCCCCCCCACCCCCGCTGATCTCACACCAAACTCTGACTGTGTAAAGCGCTCTAAGATGTTCCCTTTATGTGAAAGGCACTGTTTCAGTGCACATTGGTGCACTGAAACAGTGCCATCATCTCCTGTTATCATTGCCTTGTTCTCACCTTTAAATCCTTTCACAATCTGGCCCCACACAACAACTTCCTCAAACCCTACCTCCCCCAACTCTCCCTTCCCCCTCCCCCCCGCACCCTATACTTGACGAACCTGCCTGCTTCACGTTTTCCGCCCTGCCCACCTCATCGTCGTCAGTCAGGCTTTCATCCATTCTGCCCCCATCGTCTGGATCTTCATCCTGGAGTCCCTCTGACCACCTCCCTCCCTTTCTCCCCTCATTCAACAAGAATACAATACGAAATTACATTTGTAAAATGCTTTTCACGTCAGGAGGATGTCCCAAAGCGCTGGACAGTCAGGGGGTTTGGACCTGAGCTGGGGGGGGGGTGTGGTGGGGTTGGGATAAGGGAGGGTGGAAGGTGGAGGGCAGGGAGAGTAGGAGGATGGCTGAAGGCATGGTCGAAGAGGAGGGTCTTGAGACATACCTTGAGGGAGGCAAGGGAGGGAGTGAGGTGGAGAGAATGTGGGATGGAGTTCCAGAGGGTGGGAGCAGAGAGGCTGAAGGGCCGATTGCTGATGGTAGGGTGGGCCAGGTGGGGAAGTGGAGCACGCCAGAGCCTGCTGAGCAGATGGAGCAGACGGGTTGATAAAGAGTTAGCAAGCCAGAGAGGTAGGAAAGGGCGAGGCCATGGCGGGCCTTGCAGGTGAGGCCGAGGATTTTGAACTCTATCCTCTGAGGGATGGGAGCCGGGCGAGGGTGGGGATGATGGGGTCACAGTGCCTGGTGTGGGAAAGGACACGAGCTAAAGAGTTCTGGATGATCTGTAGCTTATGGAGGGAAGAAGCTGCAGGGAGTTGGCGTAGTTTAGCCTAGATGTGATGACCGCGTGAATGAGGGTTTCAGCGGCCTGAGGGGTGAGGCAGTGGCGGAGTTGTGTTAGGTGCGGGAAGGTAGCGCAGATCATAGCATGGATGTGGGGGAGAAAAGAGAGTTGAGGGTCAAACAAGATGCCTATGTGACAACATAATAAATAATAATCCTTGCATTTGATGAAGCGCTTTTCACGTCTTTGTGATGTCTCAAAATGCTTCACAGAATATACTGCAAAGTGAAAAACGCGGCAGCCAATTGCCCACGGCAGTGTCCTACAAACAGTTGTGGATTAAGTGACCAAATTATTTTTTCTTTTGAGGAATTCAAAAAAATACTTCAGGCATGTGGAGTAAGGAAACTTGCCCAAGGTCTCGCCCTGTTGGGAATTGAACCCTCTCGCATGCGAGGCGAGCGCCCTAACAGACACTGAGCTACAGGACTTCACTATACAACTTGCATTTATATAATGCCCTTTACATGGGCTAGCATCCGGAGTGCATTCAAGGTCCATCTCAAGACCTATATCCTCCTTGACCACACTTTCTGTCATTTTCTCCCCCTCAACTCCCACCCCCAGTTCGGGTGCCCAGCCAGCAGTATTAGGTACTTTGAGACGCCTCCCAACATGAAAGAGCTGTGTAAATGTAAATTGTGTTGTATTGATTGCATTATAGTTTCCGTGATATGAGCGAAGATGTGAATGACTTACTTCTTTCAGTATCTTGAGACACTGAACAAAGTCATACACATCTTTGTATCATGGAAACCACAATCCAATCAATACAACATAACCAATTTTATTTGGGAGATTGTTGTCCAGCACACCAGGAGAGAGAGAGAGAAGCTCCCTTCTCATTTCAAATAGTGCCGCGGGATCTTTTAACATGGACGGATTGTATTTTGGTGAGCCCCAATCTCTGACGTTCTGTTCTTCCAGCAGCCCGATACTCTGATTGACGAGACTGGATTGTTGGCCTATTCCACCCTCCCCAAAAGAGCCGGATTGTTTCTTGAGACTGTGGCCACAGCAAACTGTTATGAATATTAGGAATGTTGGAGAATGGACCCAGAGGTGCCCCGGAACTGACTGTCTCGATCACGTGTCCTGGGAGGATAAATCTAACCCAGAACCACGGACATCTGTGAAATAACCGTGACCACAGCACTGATTGTAAACGAGCTGGGGGTCTTCCATGAACTGAATTTGTACAAAATATATCAACTTTATATTTCTGTATAGACAAATGCAGCATAATTTTCACTATGCACTATGACTGGTATATGCATGAGCCATTATTTAGTGTGTTTTTTACCAAGTAATCGCAGTTCTCACTTTGTCAGGTGGACTACATCGGCAAGAGACCATCTGTGGGGGGGATCCAGCCATTGCAAAGTGGTAATAGAGAGACTTTCACTTCCCACGCCAGCGCCCAAATCACCATTGTTCAGCAAGTGACAGTAAAGCACTCTGATACTGTGTTATGCTAGTTGTTGCAAAAGTCAATTGGTATACCATCAACGCAGCCCCAAGCTGTCTGTGTCTACATCACAGTGAATCACACTGTCAAAGCTTTACCCTTTAAATGTGTATCCCTTCCTCCCTCCCTCCTATCCTCCTTGGGAGTGAGGGAAGTAGGGTCACATGTTTGGTAACAGAATGTCACAATTGAGCCTACACTCTGGTAGTCTCTGGTCTGGTTCCTGAGCTCGGTGGGGTATTCCAGGGCACTGCTGATGACAGCCCAGCCTGGCTCATCGGCAGCACTTGGGGGCAGGGACGCTTCCCACTCAGCTACTGTTAACCCTGCAAGCCAAAGCCCCAATGAATGCGGTGGTCCAAGTTGAACAAGCAGCGGGAAACTTGCCAGACAGTGATATCAATGGCAAACTATGTAGAGAAGAGACAGTGTGTGACACAGTGAGAGAGAGACAGTGTGTGACACAGTGAGAGAGAGACAGTGTGTGACACAGTGAGAGAGAGACAGTGTGTGACACAGTGAGAGAGAGACAGTGTGTGACACAGTGAGAGAGAGACAGTGTGTGACACAGTGAGAGAGAGACAGTGTGAGACAGTGAGAGAGAGACAGTGTGTGATACAGTGAGAGGAGAGACAGTGTGGACACAGTGAGGAGAGACAGTGTGTGACACAGTGAGAGAGAGACAGTGTGTGACACAGTGAGAGAGAGACAGTGTGTGACACAGTGAGAGAGAGACAGTGTGTGACACAGTGAGAGAGAGACAGTGTGTGACACAGTGAGGGAGACAGTGTGTGACACAGTGAGAGAGAGACAGTGTGTGACACAGTGAGAGAGAGAGACAGTGTGTGACACAGTGAAGGAGACAGTGTGTGACACAGTGAGAGAGAGAGACAGTGTGTGACACAGTGAGAGAGAGACAGTGTGTGACACAGTGAGAGAGACAGTGTGTGACACAGTGAGAGAGAGACAGTGTGTGACACAGTGAGAGAGAGACAGTGTGTGACACAGTGAGAGAGAGACAGTGTGTGACACAGTGAGAGAGAGACAGTGTGTGACACAGTGAGAGAGAGACAGTGTGTGACACAGTGAGAGAGAGACAGTGTGTGACACAGTGAGGGAGAGACAGTGTGTGACACAGTGAGAGAGAGACAGTGTGTGACACAGTGAGAGAGACAGTGTGTGACACAGTGAGAGAGAGACAGTGTGTGACACAGTGAGAGAGAGACAGTGTGTGACACAGTGAGAGAGAGACAGTGTGTGACACAGTGAGAGAGAGACAGTGTGTGACACAGTGAGAGAGAGACAGTGTGTGACACAGTGAGAGAGAGACAGTGTGTGACACAGTGAGAGAGAGACAGTGTGTGACACAGTGAGAGAGAGACAGTGTGTGACACAGTGAGAGAGAGACAGTGTGTGACACAGTGAGAGAGAGACAGTGTGTGACACAGTGAGAGAGAGACAGTGTGTGACACAGTGAGAGAGAGACAGTGTGTGACACAGTGAGAGAGAGACAGTGTGTGACACAGTGAGAGAGAGACAGTGTGTGACACAGTGAGAGAGAGACAGTGTGTGACACAGTGAGAGAGAGACAGTGTGTGACACAGTGAGAGAGAGACAGTGTGTGACACAGTGAGAGAGACAGTGTGTGACACAGTGAGAGAGAGACAGTGTGTGACACAGTGAGAGAGAGACAGTGTGTGACACAGTGAGAGAGAGACAGTGTGTGACACAGTGAGAGAGAGACAGTGTGTGACACAGTGAGAGAGAGACAGTGTGTGACACAGTGAGAGAGAGACAGTGTGTGACACAGTGAGAGAGAGACAGTGTGTGACACAGTGAGAGAGAGACAGTGTGTGACACAGTGAGAGAGAGACAGTGTGTGACACAGTGAGAGAGAGACAGTGTGTGACACAGTGAGAGAGAGACAGTGTGTGACACAGTGAGAGAGAGACAGTGTGTGACACAGTGAGAGAGAGACAGTGTGTGACACAGTGAGAGAGAGACAGTGTGTGACACAGTGAGAGAGAGACAGTGTGTGACACAGTGAGAGAGAGACAGTTGTGACACAGTGTGAGAGGAACAGTGTGTGACACAGTGGAGACTGTGGACACAGTGAGAGAGAGACAGTGTGTGACACAGTGAGAGAGAGACAGTGTGTGACACAGTGAGAGAGAGACGTGTGACACAGTGGAGAGAGACAGTGTGTGACACAGTGAGAGAGACAGTGTGACACAGTGAGAGAGAGACAGTGTGTGACACAGTGAGAGAGAGACAGTGTGTGACACAGTGAGAGAGAGAGAGTGTGTGACAGTGAGAGAGACAGTGTGTGACACAGTGAGAGAGAGACAGTGTGTGACACAGTGAGAGAGAGACAGTGTGTGACACAGTGAGAGAGAGACAGTGTGTGACACAGTGAGAGAGAGACAGTGTGTGACACAGTGAGAGAGAGACAGTGTGTGACACAGTGAGAGAGAGACAGTGTGTGACACAGTGAGAGAGAGACAGTGTGTGACACAGTGAGAGAGAGACAGTGTGTGACACAGTGAGAGAGACAGTGTGTGACACAGTGAGAGAGAGACAGTGTGTGACACAGTGAGAGAGAGACAGTGTGTGACACAGTGAGAGAGAGACAGTGTGTGACACAGTGAGAGAGAGACAGTGTGTGACACAGTGAGAGAGAGACAGTGTGTGACACAGTGAGAGACAGTGTGTGACACAGTGAGAGAGAGACAGTGTGTGACACAGTGAGAGAGAGACAGTGTGTGACACAGTGAGAGAGACAGTGTGTGACACAGTGAGAGAGAGACAGTGTGTGACACAGTGAGAGAGAGACAGTGTGTGACACAGTGAGAGAGAGACAGTGTGTGACACAGTGAGAGAGAGACAGTGTGTGACACAGTGAGAGAGAGACAGTGTGTGACACAGTGAGAGAGAGACAGTGTGTGACACAGTGAGAGAGAGACAGTGTGTGACACAGTGAGAGAGAGATAGTGTGGACACAGTGAAAGAGAGACAGTGTGTGACACAGAGAGAGAGACAGTGTGTGACACAGTGAGAGAGAGAGAGTGTGTGACACAGTGAGAGAGAGACAGTGTGTGACACAGTGAGAGAGAGACAGTGTGTGACACAGTGAGAGAGAGACAGTGTGTGACACAGTGAGGAGAGAGACAGTGTGTGACACAGTGAGAGAGAGACAGTGTGTGACACAGTGATGGAGAGACAGTGTGTGACACAGTGAGAGAGAGACAGTGTGTGACACAGTGAGAGAGAGACAGTGTGTGACACAGTGAGAGAGAGACAGTGTGTGACACAGTGAGAGAGAGACAGTGTGTGACACAGTGAGAGAGAGACAGTGTGTGACACAGTGAAGAGAGTGGACACAGTGAGAGAGACAGTGTGTGACACAGTGAGAGAGAGACAGTGTGTGACACAGTGAGAGAGACAGTGTGTGACACAGTGAGGAGAGACAGTGTGTGACACAGTGAGAGAGAGACAGTGTGTGACACAGTGAGAGAGAGACAGTGTGTGACACAGTGAGAGAGAGACAGTGTGTGACACAGTGAGAGAGAGACAGTGTGTGACACAGTGAGTGAGAGAGACAGTGTGTGACACAGTGGGAGAGAGACAGTGTGTGACACAGTGAGAGAGAGACAGTGTGTGACACAGTGAGAGAGAGACAGTGTGTGACACAGTGAGAGAGAGACAGTGTGTGACACAGTGAGAGAGAGACAGTGTGTGACACAGTGAGAGAGAGACAGTGTGTGACACAGTGAGAGAGAGACAGTGTGTGACACAGTGAGAGAGAAGTGTGACACAGTGAGGAGAGTGTGTGACACAGTGAGAGAGAGACAGTGTGTGACACAGTGAGAGAGAGACAGTGTGTGACACAGTGAGAGAGAGACAGTGTGTGACACAGTGAGGGAGACAGTGTGTGACACAGTGAGAGAGAGACAGTGTGTGACACAGTGAGAGAGAGACAGTGTGTGACACAGTGAGAGAGAGACAGTGTGTGACAGTGTGTGACACAGTGAGAGAGAGACAGTGTGTGACACAGTGAGAGAGAGACAGTGTGTGACACAGTGAGAGAGAGACAGTGTGTGACACAGTGAGAGAGAGACAGTGTGTGACACAGTGAGAGAGAGACAGTGTGTGACACAGTGAGAGAGAGACAGTGTGTGACACAGTGAGAGAGAGACAGTGTGTGACACAGTGAGAGAGAGACAGTGTGTGACACAGTGAGAGAGAGACAGTGTGTGACACAGTGAGAGAGACAGTGTGTGACACAGTGAGAGAGAGACAGTGTGTGACACAGTGAGAGAGAGACAGTGTGTGACACAGTGAGAGAGAGACAGTGTGTGACACAGTGAGAGAGAGACAGTGTGTGACACAGTGAGGGAGACAGTGTGTGACACAGTGAGAGAGAGACAGTGTGTGACACAGTGAGAGAGAGACAGTGTGTGACACAGTGAGAGAGAGACAGTGTGTGACACAGTGAGAGAGAGAGACAGTGTGTGACACAGTGAGGGAGAGAGACAGTGTGCGACACAGTGAGGGAGACAGTGTGCGACACAGTGAGAGAGAGACAGTGTGTGATACAGTGAGAGAGAGACAGTGTGTGACACAGTGAGAGAGAGACAGTGTGTGACACAGTGAGAGAGAGACAGTGTGTGACACAGTGAGAGAGAGACAGTGTGTGACACAGTGAGAGAGAGACAGTGTGTGACACAGTGAGAGAGAGACAGTGTGTGACACATTGAGGAGAGACAGTGTGTGACACAGTGAGAGAGAGACAGTGTGACACAGTGAGAGAGAGACAGTGTGTGACACAGTGAGAGAGAGACAGTGTGTGACACAGTGAGAGAGAGACAGTGTGTGACACAGTGAGAGAGAGACAGTGTGTGACACAGTGAGAGAGAGACAGTGTGCAGTGAGAGACAGTGTGTGACACAATGAGAGAGAGACAGTGTGTGACACAGTGAGAGAGAGACAGTGTGTGACACAGTGAGGAGAGACAGTGTGTGACACAGTGAGAGAGACAGTGTGTGACACAGTGAGAGAGAGACAGTGTGTGACACAGTGAGAGAGAGACAGTGTGTGACACAGTGAGAGAGAGAGACAGTGTGTGACACAGTGAGAGAGACAGTGTGTGACACAGTGAGAGAGAGACAGTGTGTGACACAGTGAGAGAGAGACAGTGTGTGACACAGTGAGAGAGAGACAGTGTGTGACACAGTGAGAGAGAGACAGTGTGTGACACAGTGAGAGAGAGATAGTGTGGACACAGTGAGGAGAGACAGTGTGTGACACAGTGAGAGAGAGACAGTGTGTGACACAGTGAGAGAGAGACAGTGTGTGACACAGTGAGAGAGAGAGAAGTGTGTGACACAGTGAGAGAGAGACAGTGTGTGA